AAATTAAAATGGCTTGTGAATGTGTCTTAAGCAACTACAATCAATCACACTATTGCTCAGCATTTATGGAAAGCAATTTGGTTATGTGGGCAGACCCTAAAAAGTACATGTCCTTTTGACCACATACATACCTTCTAGAAATTTAATCCTCAAAGTTTTAGGGTTCATGGTTCCAACAGAATACAATGTAGCCATCTTTTATTAATGAGGTAGAGCTACATATAACTTAACTAGGAAAAATCCATAATCCCCCAAAAACCTAGAAGGTGATAGACTGAATTGTTTCTATTTCAGGAGTACGAAGTCACTGATTTTATCTTTCTAGAAATTTATTTTTACAGAGTAATAGATTTTTCTGTTAGGAAAAAAAAAGAAAATATTTTTCTTTTAAGTATTTGGTTACATAAGCCCTGAATACACATTGATACACACATATGTAAATCTCCACAATGTATCATTTCAGGAGCTGCCTACTGTGTTTTTGTCATTATTGTTTAAATAATCATCTATTATTGGATACTTAAGTTGTTTTCAAATATTTACTACTATAAACAGAACTTAGGTGCAAATTCTTGTGGCTAAATGTTTTCATGTATTTTAAATTGTTTCTTTAGAATAAATTCCTAGAAATGAAACTGCAGCTCCAAAATGTGAACCCAGTAAGGACTTTAGCACAATATTGCAAAATTACCTCACTAAAAACTTCAGTGCCAATTTATTTTCCAATTACAATGTAAAGATAGCCTTTTCCCTCCATCCCACCCTGTATATTATCATCTTTTCCAGTATCAAATTGGTAAAATAATCCATCATTATTTTTACAGCTATTTCTTTAATTACTAGGGAAGAAAACACCATTTAGATTCAGTTATTAGAAATTGATCGTTGTGTGATCCGCTTATGGATAGCTCTTGCCTATTTTTCTACTAGGTTCTTACTCTTTCCAAATGGTAGCAGTGATTTATATAAGATTAGTTCTTTCTCACCAAGGCTTGTGTGTGCCATTGGCTTTTTAGTTTGGTTTAATGTGTTTATAGTCAGAAATTTTAATTTGTACACATTTTCTTGACAATTTAGCATTTCTAAATTCTGCCTAAGTGAATTTTGAATAGGTTTTTTTGAAATATATACACACTAATCATATATATATATAATATATATATGTATTTCTTATGCATTACTTTATCATTTGTCTTAATATGTTTTTTTGTAGGAAGTTTCCGAAAGGAATACCACTCCTTGAAAGCAGAGGTCATGACATTGTTTAAAGCCCTGACAGCAACCAGCCCAGAGCTCAAAAGTCTGTTTGGGAGAAAAAGATATCCTGTCAGGGGATTTGCTTTGAAGCAATTCAGTTTGGGATGGCGGATGAAAATGAGGGAAAGATGAAATAAAACTGACCATGTGTCAATCACTGTTGAAGCTAGAGATAGGTACCTGGAGTGCATTCCACTATTATGCCTGCTTTTTGTGTTTTTAAAATTTTCCACAATCAAAAGATTCTTTAATGTGTCTTAAGCTGATTGGACAACAACAGAAGGAACTTGTCGGGTAACAATGGTGATGAAAATAGAACACACACAAGGCTACTTCCATGGCACAAAATGTTCAGAGCACAGCCTTGACGTGAGGTAGACTTGAACACAAATCCTGCTAGCTCAGGGACTTCACACCGCTGTTCACTCTCTCAGGTTTCCTTTACATAAAGAGATATCTGTATTAATTACCTTAAGGTTGTAGTATTAAGTAATGAGTATAAAATTGTCAGCCAACACCCAAAACAGAGTTACTGTTATTCAGTGAGGCACCAGTTGACAAGTGCCACACAATACTTCCTGATGGTGGCACCCAACAACTGGTCCACTGTGGCAAAGTTTTCAATTAAATTGGCCTGGGCACTAGACAACTGCTTGGCAGAAAGCATGGTAGAAGAAATTATGCTCCCAATACTCAGAAAACAGGAGCCCGGCAAAAGACGAAGCCTGTCATTCCTGATTTAATGGCCTTAAATCCGCATTTCAATGACATGAACAAGAAATGAGAACCAATAGTGGTTCAAAACTTTGGCCAAACTCTCCTATTATCCAGGGAACCCTAAAAAAATATGGTGTCTGCGTCCCATTCCCAGAATTTGATTGAATGGTTTGAGGTGTGGTGTGGGCACTGATACTAAAAACTTTAGTGTCACTACTGTGGAAAGAAAATGAGTGTGTGTGTGTTTGTGTGTGTGTGTGTATATGAGAGCGAGAGAGACAGAGACAGAGAGTTGGGGTCAGCATAGTAAGAAAAGAAGACAAGGGGTAACAAAAGAAGAGAACCATTGAGTCCCACGTGGACACTATTGAAGCCAACTCAGTCATATGGGCTCAAGCTGTGTCCCATACCAGACAAACCCAATCCCACTAGAGCCCTATTATCCCCTCCACAAACTTCAAGAGAGTGTATAATAATTCCCAGGGCCAAGATATGTTATTAACACCAGGATACACAACAATACTCTAAGAAACAGTAAAGCAATGTATTTTGGTCTTGGGGAAAAAGCCCAGCTGAGTGATGATGGAGGAAGGAGGGAGGAAAGCACTTTGTCTCCAGGCATTCTGGCAGCCTGGCATTGTGCCTCGTTTTGGGAAGTTACCGCAGCATCTTTGATCAAGGGGAAAGCACATCTATTTGCATCACTTGAGCTAGGATGGAGTGCTGTCTGGCTGTCGGGCTGCCCACCAGGCGAGCCCACCGGAGCCTGAGTTCACATGGCAGTGCTTAGCATGTCAGTGAAGCAAGGGGACCTGTCCGAGCTTCGAGGGGCATGCTCATTTAGCAAATCAGCCTGCCTGCAAGTTCCTTTACTTCAGCAAACACCACCTGGCCCAGCCTGGCCTCAGCAAAACAAAAGCTGACCAGTGAGCTGTCCATCATGAGGCCATAAACACTTCAGAATCAAGACAGGAGTCAATCATTCTCATAAACAGTGCACCCGGGATCACACAGGCCCAAGAAGGGAAAAAGCTGCCTCTGTCCGCTGTGCCCTTCCCTCCATTACCTTTATCTGGTTTCAGCCCCAAAGTGATCTGAGAAAGGTCTAAATTCCTCCGCCAGGATGCTCAGCAATACAGCATTAAATATATGCAAAGATCACCCACATTCGTTTTACTAGAATAAATAGTAAATTAAAAATTGATGAGACAGCTCATCAATCAATTTCTACACTTGGGGAGTTTTGACAGAAGATTGTGGCATTTTGTTTTGTTTAACCTTAAGTGGTATCATCCATAAAATCTTAAGGAGATCTGAGTAGCAGAACCACAAGAGAGACAGAAATCATGGGGATGACAGTGACAAACATTTGCATGACCTTCATATGTTCCAACTGTTTTGTATGAGTTCCCTCATTCTATATTCATTACAACCTCATGAGGGAAGCTACAATAATAATACTCATTACTAACAGTATTACTGATAACAACAGTAATGCATAATATATCATAAAAGCAACATGTAATATATATGACATAATGTTGGTAATAACATTTAACATATGTATAGCATACACTGATAATGGAGATAATCACCCTCATTTTTCAGATAAAGAAACCCTGGCCTCAGAGAAGCTCGGTGTGGGGCTGGCCTCATGCCCAGTATTCTGGATCCAGGGGTACCCTACTAACCACCTCGTCCAGGCCTCACCTCAGCGCCTCCTCTGAACATCAAGGTCTAGAGGACTTTGGGGGAATCTGGGCTGGAACCTCAGCTCTGCACTGCACATCCTGCTGCTGTTGCATCGTTTATAAATGGGGATAATGACACCTACATCTAGGTCTGTAATAAAACTTAAGAAAATGAATAAAAAGCTCTTTTCCCCAGGCTGACAGCCAAGTCCAGTTTAACTCAATACTCTTGAGCCTGGATGTACATTAAAATCAACTGGGAAACTTTTAAAACCCAGGTACCCAACCTCTATCCCACCACTCTTCCACATTTCTACCCATCTGTAGTCAGTCTGAAAACAGCTGTCTCCTACACCCAACCCAAAGTGAAACCTGCAATCCCATGGACCAAAGTCCAGATTATATACCCTTTGCCCTGTTGACCCAGGATTACAGAGAAGCTTTTAAACTCCCAGTACCCTCTGCTCTGGGACAATGGATTCCTCCAAACGCTGCTCTACTAGAAATCATAAGCACCAGGACCATTCTCAACCAGGCCAAGCTCAAACTGTCCAGGGTCAGGGTCCTTCCTGAGCCCCATCAAGGCAGCCCTTCATAGCACTTTTTGTATGATATCCTGACTCAGAAAAGCCTGCTGCCTCCCAACTAAAGTCCCTGTACAAACGGGGGAGGAGAGAATCTAGCAAGTTCCCTAAGGAGCACCTTATTGTCCTTCCCTGGTGTACTCCAGAAACATTCTATGCCAGCACCAACACAGGTAGCATTACCTTTACACAAAGCACTAGCCAGCCAGAAGACCACACAGGGTGCAAGACAGGTGTAATTGCCTAAAATGATTTTAAAATCTGAGTGCACACACATCCAGGCCTACACACACACACTCCAAGAGCCATATGCACTTCGTGCTCTGAGAGGGGTCTGCTTCATTCAGGGATGGTAAGAAGCAGGGAATGCAGAGGGGCAACAATATAAAGTAAAGGGAATATAGGGCTGCCAGTGGAAACTGGCCAGGATAAGGAAAAATAATCAGCACACTTTGGACAGAATAAAAAAGCGCAGGTCAGGCCCTTAGCGGAGACAGCCAGCAGGGAGGATGGGACCAAGCCATGCCAGTTTCCTGGCTCTGACTTCCATGCATCTTGTCAGGGCTCACTGCCAGTTGGCAAGAGGTGTTGTGGGGGGCTTAGAAAGGAGAAAGCTGCACAGAGAAGAGTCAAAGAGCCATGCACTCACTGTTTCCCAGATAATGAAGGTGTTCAGCAGCCCTCACACTCTGCAGACACCTCCCTCTGCCTCAGTCCAGCAAGCAACCTGAGAGAAAGTCCTACTCCTCACCTGGGTAAAGGAGCCATCCTCACCACACTCTGGGACAAACACTGCTTCCTGAGGCTTCTTGGCCTGCTCCAGGGCTTGGGCTCGCTCCAGGCGACACTTGCTCTGGCCAGCATCTAAAAGGGGACAGAAGCATATTTCATATTTCACTTGAATTCCACATAGAAGCCATGGTACAAAATCACTATCCAGAGGCAAGAATGTTGAGAGAAACCCTCTCCATTCAGGAAGCCACACGTACAACCAAAATGTCTATCCAGTGGACAGTGGTTAGTGACATCTGATTGACTATCGTATAGCGAACCTTTTCCCATCTATGTCATGGTCCATGAAGAAGTTACTGGAATTCTAGTGAGTTAATTCCAATCTACCACCTCTGGTGCAACCCAAAGAGAGAATAAAGACACTAAGACATACATGCAATTATGGGGAGCCAAAGAGTCCTAAGTCCAGCCAAGATGGTGGTTCACCAGGACAAAGGCCTCACCCAGAGCCCAACACGGGTTTTATTAATTCCCCATGAGGGGAGTGGCTTGGGGATGAGTGACAGTAGAGTGGCAGGTAATATGTAGCTGCCATGACTCCCATGAGCTGAGCTAAGTAGAATGTCTGAGATCACTTCTGCGATAAGCAGAGGGCAAAAAATACAGAGAGAGCAATAATTTGAGGTTGGTGCTTCAGTTCTGATATATAATCCTTCTTGCCCTGGAATGTCAGAGCCTCTTTCTCAAGGCTCTGTCCCAGCCAACAGCATTGAGCATGGCTCTCCATACTGCCTAGCTCAACTATGTATTCGAGGAGTCACTGGGCGAGGTAACACTGACCTGTTGCTTTACTTTAGAGATTACACATCAGCTCCTCAGCCAACCCAGTTTACATTGCTTAAAGCCAATTGAAGGGACAAAGAAAAAGCCTAGCGAACTCTGTACATATCAGTACAGGGAGACAGGGCCACGTTTATCCAAAATGGAGATAGTTGCCCTTCTTTTCAAGGACAGTCATCTGGGTGGTTTCCCACATTGCTCAGCCTTTAATTCCTGTAATTCCTGCACTGAAGAAGCCAGGATCTCAAACTCTAAACCTATGGGATTTAGGAAAGTGAGATCAACTGAGTATGAGCACAACAGCATTCCATCCTGAGAGGCCGTAGGGAGTGGGAGGGCTATGGCAAACTGGAAAACAGACTCTGCTCTAGCCATGCGCTGCTGTGCAAACCTAACAGGGCAAGAACACCCAATTTTAAAAGAAAAGTTGCCAAAGGCAGATTTTTATGTTGAAATTTCTCAGTTTTTAAATACTGTCTCCAATGTTTTTAATGTGTTACAACAGATCAAACAAAACACATCTGTTGGCCAACAGTTTGGAATCCCTATTCAGGGTTAGTAATAATGCCTTGCACCCCCTTTTTAAAACAAAACAAACAACAAAGAACCAGCCACATCTAAAGGCCTAGGCTGGCAGCAGCATCCAAAAGATAGGGAAGTGCTTATACCTTTAGGTAGACCAGCCTTCTTTCCCATAATTCCTGAGGAAAAGGATACGGAGATAGGGTAGCAAATCAAAAGAACAGACACATTCTGAGTCCCCTCTGGTGACTGCACAGTGCTGGGCAGACAGCTGATGTCCCAGCAGGTTCCTATGGGTTGAGCAAGGCTCACCTTTGCATCGACCCCGATGGGCCACACTCAAGGTCGGGTCTCGGCACTTGGCTTGCTGGTACTCACACATGGACTCATAAGACCGGCCATCGGAGGCACAGATGGGTTTGGGTTGAGTCCTGGAGCAGTGGAGGTTGCACTGCGGGTCCCGGTCACTTATTAGAAACTAGATTTGGGGGGCAGGGGATGAAAGGACAAAGAGGTTACTTTCATAAGAAAAGCAGGAGAAAGTGCATGATTTGCAGTACTGTTTTGCCTTAGCAGGCAAGTTTCACACAAACTCAGTTTTTAAAACCCTAGTGGTGATGGGAACTTGGCAAATGCAAAGTCTAACTGAGGAAGGCTTCTTCCACACATCAGAACAATGATGTCTAACATTTACTGATCACGATCAGGAACTGTGCCAAGAAATTCACATGCAGAATCTCACTAGTCAGCACAGCAACTCTGTAACAGAAACTGCCTATTCTTTAGACAAGGAAATCGAAGGCAAGGAGAGTTATGGGTACAATGTCACAGAGCTGTAAAGAGGAGAAGATGAATCTGAACTTGAATCTGTTAGAAATAAAATCTGGGGGGCTGGGGATTTAGCTCAGCGGCATAAGCACCTGCCTTGCAAGCAGGCGGTCATGAGTTCGATCCCTGGTACCGATAAAAAAAGGAAAAAGACAAAAAAAAAAAAAAAAAGAAATAAAATCTGAGCTCTAATCTCTAGGACATTTGGTCCCTCCACCCATGCAGATGGTTATGTAATGTCTATTTGATTACTTCCTCAAATAAAGAATTGATCAATCTCTAACTTCCATCTTTGGAAAGTTTTATCCATTAGATAATACTGAGCCCCAAATCTACCATCCTTCTATTTCTGCCCACGGCTCTCTGGCATAATTCAGTGCTTTTCTATGAGAAAGGTATTTCCTGATTTTAAAAATAGCAGTGATAATCAGCTTGGGAAATGCTGAGTTAAACAGATTTCCTTAGTCCTGGAATTCACAGACATCTTTTTGATACACTCTTATATACAGTGAATCTTCAAGAGGCATAGTGCATCAAAGATACCTGCAAGTTATTTGCCACTTCTCCTATTGACCTTTGGAGCTAAACCTAAGCATAGACCAGCCTCAGGAATGTGTTTGACCACTAAAATGCTGTGGATGTTGGAGGGCTCCTGGAGGAGGTTAGAAGAAGGCTTGCAGCTTCTTTCTTGCAGTACTCACTTAGGGGAAAGCAGTCACCACGTAAGATGCCTGACAACCCTGAAACCAGCACACTAGGAGAAATCCAAGTCAGTGTATTTCAAAACCATATAGACTGAGAAATGCCCAACAACTCCAGCACAGAGACTGGAGTGTGATGAAGCCTTCTGATGAGTCCAGCTCACCATTCAACTAAATGCAACTCCAGTAAAGAAAACAATTCCATGAGACGCCCTGGCAAGAACCACCCAGCAGAGCCCAGTCAGCCCACAGAACTGTGCAGGATGATAATGATCTATAGGATTAAGCTTGTGGTCATTTGCTGCATAGCAATCCATGACTAGGTCAAGACACATATATGATGCTACAGCTTCTAAACCTATCTGACCATGAACCTCTTTATCAGTGAACTATGTGTTAACCATATGACACAGCTGGAGAACAGTAACTGAACCAGCAACCCACGATGATCTACTGTACTTGAGCCTAGAGTGAGCTCTGCTTTCACTCACACCCTATAGTAGAGCCCTGGGGACGCTGAAGGCCCTCTCAGCAGGGCTGGAGAGATGACGCCTGGCAATGTCCTGCATGTACCGGTGGACCTCAGTGATGCTGAAGCTGACTGTATAATCACACCAGGCTCAGAGGTAAAAAAGAGGTGTGTACAGCCCTGCTTCAGCTGTACTGCAAGCCCTCTGTGTGACACACATAGGTGAGACCTTGTTGATCCTTTTCAACAACAGTATTGAAAGACCCAAAGGTAGCTCCAGACCAGTCTTCGAGAGTGTTGAAAACACTCTCCCTACTCCGACCCAATCTCGCCCCCAGACCCCAGCCACCCTCATCCTGCCCCAAATCTCAAGAGATTCCCCTCCACCTGTGCATTACTACACAGAGCACATCCCTGCTGTAAAGCCAGTCCCACCCACTACCTTGACCTCATCCTGGGTGCTGGATGCTCACCACAGAGAGACTGCTGCTGACCACTCAGCCCACAACATGGGCCTTGTCAGGATGGACAGTGCAGTGAGGCCCTCTCATCATGCTCGCAGGTTAGCCCCAAGTCTCGCCAAAGTTCAAAGGGGACTATCCTGATCACACCTTATGAGCACCGCACTGTATACAATCTAGTGTTCTAGGGTTAAAAGAAAGTGGCTAGGAAGTCAGATGCAAGGGAATCCATGGTCCCCCCAGTTACCACACAGAGAGGTGGGTGGCAACATGTCCACTCTCACACATCCCCTAGATTTCAACTCCCCTCTGGCTGCCCCTGCTTAAAACCCTGGAGTGGAGTACCACTGCCCTTGGGACCTCCACACAGTGTCTCTCCCAGTAGCATCTGACCCTGGGTCCCCTTTGGGCCTCTGTTCTGACTTCTCTGGCCCCTTGGCTCTCTGACAATCACTCACCACTCTGGCCTGTGGTCCATCTCTCGGGGCGCTCCCCAGGTCTTCAGATGCACTCTCCTCACTTCAGCCCCCCTCACTCTACTCCAGATTTGGGTTTATACCATCTCTTCTGGGGATTTTCCCCTGACTCTCACAGGAAAGGATGGGTCCCTGGAATCATTTCTCGCAGCTCATTCTTCCTTAATGGCTCTTAACGGTTTGTAACAATGAATTAATTTCTGTGATTTGATTAACAATGGGATCCCTAAAGCTGAGCTCTGACAGTGAGGATAACTTTTGGTGTCCCAGGCTCTTGCCACGGGAGGGCATCCCTGGGCCACTACTTCCTATAGTACTCAAAGCCTTGCCTTTCTCTAGCTGGGTCCTCTCCTGCACCATCCCTGCTGTGTTACTCAGTAGGCAGAGGAGGCCAGAGTCCCCTGCCCTTGCCACACTCAGAAGGACACTCATAAGGAGTGGCTCATAGAGGGCCTGATAGTGCCTGGAGGTCCTCACTTGGTGTCTGGCAGGTAGCCGGGCTCTTGGCTTTGTGAATTCCCTTTTGCAGCTGGGTCAGTGCTTTTGCTCATGGTGTTGCTCTGTCACAAGGAAAGGTGTGCAGAACAGGGAGTAGAAGTGCGGTTCTGCAGAGAAGTCATGGGTATGGGTCCCAGGAAAACACTGCATGCTGCTGAATCTTGCTGAAGTCACCTGACTTCCTGGGCATTCGTTTTCTTATCTGTAAAACGAGGATACTAATATACTCTGTGGCACAGGGTTACTTTGAAAAAAAACTAAACTAGTTAACATTTTGTAAGTTACATGTAAACTCCTGCCCATCTTCTTTCCTTGGAGTTTAAATGGGGGAGGAAGACTTGTTGGTTTTCTTTCTTCTTTTCTTTTTTTAAGAGAGAATACACAAGAAAAAAGGGAGACAGACAACAGGTTTTTCTTTTTTTTAAACCTACAGAGGTTATTTTATTGTCTGCTCTAAAGCTCACAAAAGTGAAAAGCTGCAGGCATCATGGGTAGCATTGAATTCCAGATCATAAATTCAGTTTGGAAATGGTTTGCGCTGCACCCGACACCACGGCAGCTATACCCAAGACCTGCTTAACAACAAGAGGAACACTCTGTCTGCACAGACAGGTTAAAGAGCCAGGCCCTACCTAGCCTGGCCACAGAAGGGGTTCTGTGTTTGAGAAGAGCTCCTGAAGGATTTCTGTCTAGAAATGACTGGGCCCTTGAGCCCATTAACACACTGAAGACAGCACAGAGCCATGGCTAAAGACCATCTTCAATCAATGGTGGTGTCTTGTTTCCATCTGTTTTGGGGACTGTATGTATTTATGATTGTTTTCTAAGCCAGGCAATGAGGTCTATAAAATGAGGCTTTAATAGGATGACTATGCTATCATACAAGAGATGACTCTGGGTCCACAGACACTAAGAATAATGTAGTCCTCCAATCTGCCACCCATCTGCTCATGGACTTGGTACCCAGTGAGTGAGCAGCAACAATGAGCCACCCCTGTCCAGGCTTAGGAAGCAACACACAGCCAGTGTGGTCCCTGCCCTCCATCAGCTCACCCACTAGGCTGGATGCACTAAGCAAGCAGAGGACGTGCAGTGTGTCAGCAGGAAACCACAGAGGTGCAAAGAGGGGATGTGATCCTAGGGACTCTGCAACATAACAAAGCCACACAACTCTAAGGAAATGGTCTCTGTCTACTCTGTCCTACACAGTAGCCCCTGACCACGTTAGGCACTGAAATATACCAAATTCAACTGAGCAACATTTAGTTGTGTTTAATTTCAGTTTATTTTAATTTAAATAACCATATGTGGCTAGTGGCTCCCATATGCAAAAAACCCATTCATAAAGTATACAAACCAAGAGGGGAGAGATGGTGGTCCTCAAATGAACTTCTGCTAGTTGAGCCAGGCTCACTGATTGGGCTAAAGAAAAAATGAAGCAGATTCCAAGAATAATCTCTGCATCTTGAAACTAGACAGTAAATCAGTTCACTACTTCTGGGTCAACAGCCAGGATATCCCAGGAATTTGTCACAGTCCAAGTGAATTCATGAGTGTGGCTTTTTCTTCTCTTTTTCAGGGGACAGGCTAGACACAGACACAGGCTAAAAGCACTCAGCATGAGGCTGTGGCTGTGGTCAGTTGTTTCATCACACATACAAAACTCAAAGAATTAGAGTCACATTGCTGGGACATAAACCCCTGGGGCCAGGAGTCCATTGCTGTAGGCTCAAGAACAATCATGATTGGCAGGAATTTTTGGTGTTGGACAGAGACAAGTGGTCACCCCCCCACAAGCCATCATTGAGTCATTTTCCACAGTGCATCTTCATGGAAATTCCCACAGATTCCCTTCCTCTTCCTAAAAGACAATAAAAGCAAAATAATAATGCCAAATGACTGCCTACTGCAGAAACCAGACAAAAGAGACTGGGACTATTGTGCATCTGCAGTTGTTTCTCCCCTCGCTCTCTCCTCCACCTCCCTGGAGAGTGCATGACTGCAAACATTTTGTGTTGTGCTCACATTGGTGAAGTAGGATGGAC